CATACTATATAAAATATATTAAAATAAGAAATTATAATAGGGAATACTACTTAAAGCAATAATTAACAATCTTAACGAAGTATAAAATACTAAAGGGTATAACTTATATATTATAATAAATATATAGCTTAATAATATATTAATAACTATACTTATAAATATAAAAGTAGGGAAAAACTATATTTTAGAATAAAAGGTATAAAAAGTATAAATTAAAATATAAGTAATAAATAAATTATATATAATTATAATAACTATAGGAGATATAATAAAAGCTAACCTAATTATAAAAGAAACTATATAAATAAAAATAGCTATTTAATAGTAGAATAAAAGTATAATATTTAATATATTTAAGATAGCTATTTATAATATTATACTAAAAATACTTTAATTAAAAAAGCAAAACTTAATTATTAATTAACTATCTAGAGAACTAAGATTTAAAGATAAGCTTATTATTAAAGCTTAAAAACCTAAGTAATTTATAATTACAACCTTAGATAAAAGAATTTAATAAAATATTATAAGTACTTATATATTTTAGATTTTAAAAAATAAGTAGCTAAGTAGTATACTAACTTTAGTAAATATAGAAGAAAAGTTAATTAATTATAAAGTTAAAAGAAAAAGTATTAACAAAGCTCTTATATTATTAAAATATAGAAAATAAATATACTTTTTTAAAAAAAATAAAAAAAAAGTATTACTACTATATTAACTTTAAAATTATTAAATTAAGTTAATTAATAATAAATAACTAACGTTTAAACTTATATATTAACTATTAAAAATAGAACTTAAAGCTTTAGATAAATACTTAAAAAAAACTTTATAAAAAGATTTATAAAGCTATTATCTTCTTTAGCTAAATACTTAATTCTTTTTATTTTAAAAAAGAATAATAAACTATAAGTATATATAAACTATAGGAAACTTAATAAGATTATAATAAAAAATTAGTATTTATTATTAAATATAAATAAACTTAGAAATTAACTATAAAGAGTAGAAAAGTTTTTAAAACTTAATATATATAAAGTATATAACTTAATATAAATAGCTAAAAGCTATAAATAGAAAATAGCTTTTAGAATAAGATATAGATTATATAAATATATAGTTATACTTTTTAGATTAACTAACGCATTAGTATTATACTAAGAACTAGTTAATAATATTCTAAAGAACTTACTAGACTAGTATATTATTATATACTTAGATAATATACTAATATTCTTAAAGATAATATAATAATATATAGAAGATATTAAGAAAATATTTATATATTTAATAAAAGTAAACCTTAAGTTTAAACTAAAAAAATACGAATTCTATAAGAAGGAAGTACTTTTTTTAAGGTATATTATAAGTACTAAAAACTTAGCAATAAATCTAGAGAAAATATAGGCAATACTAGATTAGCTAAAACTAATAATAGTTAAGGAATTACAATTATTCTTTAAAGTAATTAACTTTAATAAAAGATTTATATAAAGATTTTTATAGATTATATTATTTTTAATAAAGTTAATAAGAAAAAAAACAGAATATAACTAGATTAAAGAACAATAATAAGTATTTAACTAACTAAAAAAGGAATATATAAAAACTCTAGTATTAAGAACTTTTTAATTAAGAAAAGTAATTTAAATTAAAACTAACGCATTAAATATAGTAATAAAGGTATACTTATAATAGAAAATAGATAATAAATAGCACTTTATAGCATACTATTTATTTAAAATAATAAATATAGAATAAAACTATAATATTTATAATAAAAAATTAATAGTAATAATTAATATATTCTAATAATAAAGAATATATGTAAAAAAAAGTAGAAGATATTAAAGTATCTATAGACTATAAGAACTTAGTATACTTTATAATAATAAAATAATTAAACTAATAATAAATTAAATAAGTAGAACTACTAGTATAATATAAATTCTAAATTAATTATATATTAAAAAAAGATAATATTATTGCTAATAAACTTAGCAAATAACTAGATTTATACTAATAGAAATATAAATATTTAGTAATAATATTTAGATAAAATAATAATAGAACGCTATATTTAATATAAGTTAATATACTAGCAAAAGATAATTTTATTAGCTAAATATAAAAAATATATTAAAGTAATAAAATAGTCTAAAGATAGATTAATTTAGGATGGAAAAAACTATTAAAATATTAATAATAATATTATATATTAAAAGAACTTCTATAAAAGCTAATATAGAAGTATTATAATAATTTAAAATATAAATATCTAGGAATAGTTAAAATATACAAACTTATTAAACGAAATTAGTCTTTATTAAATATAAGAATAGTAATTAATAAATATATTAAAAAATACCTTTTATATAAAAGAAATAAAGCTAAAAACTATAAGAAATATAGTTATCTATAGAAGATATACTTACTAAAGTTTTTATAGCAATATACTATAATAGATTTTATAATAAAACTATTATTATTATAGGACTTAAGAACTAAAAAGATATATAATACTATAATAATTATAGTTAATAGATATATAAAATATATTATAATAATACTATTTAGTAAAATATATAATGCAATATAACTAGTATATATATTCCTAGATAAAGTAATTAGAATTAAAGGATTTTTTAAGGAAATAATCTTAAATAAAGATAAACTATTTATATTTTTATTTTAGAAAATAATTATAGCAGAGACTAGAACTAAGCTCAAGCTCTCTATAATATATTACTTAGAGATAGATAGTTAAATAGAAAGGATAAATTAAATATTAAAGATATATTTATAATACTATATTAACTAGAGCTAGAATAATTAAGTAAAACTTTTACTTATAGTAAAGTTAGTATTTAATAACTTAATATTAAATACTATAAAAATAACATTATTCTGTATAAACTATAAAAGAAATCTAAATATAAACAATATACTAAGAGAATTATTAAAGTTGTAGAAAATTATTAAATACATATTAGAACTTAAATAAGTATATAAAAATATTATAAATTTTTTAAAAAAAAGTATAAATTAAAATAGAAAAATAGGAAAATAAATATAAAATAAATAGACTTTAGCTAAAAAAGGAAATAAAATATAGCTTTATATAAAAAATCTTAAAATAAAATAACTAAACAAGAAACTAAATTACTTGTAAATTAACTTATTTAAAATTTAGAAATAGAAAAGACTTATTAACTATAAACTAGAACTACTAAATAATATAAAAATATATTTAATATTCTATATATTATTTCTTAAAAAAGCAAAAAATACTAAACTAATTCTAATATTATTTAAATATAAACCTAAAGAAAATAATACTTTTAAAGTTAAAAAAATACTAGAAAAACAATATAATTAATATCTTATTAAATAAAAGAACTACTTAGAAGAAAAAACTATATAAAAATTAGAAGAATACTTACTACTTAATTACGTAAGGAAGTTTTAGCACTTCTGCTAGCAGCAACAATAGGAGTAAATAAGGCTTTTATTTATTTATTAGATTAATTAGGAAAAAAAAAATTAAAATTATTAAAAAAAAAGATTATTAATTACTAAATCTAATCTAAGAGCTAAAGTCAATAAATATATATTATTAGATTATTGTTCTTACTCTTCTTTATAATATTTATCTTCTTTTATTTCTAGAATATTCTTTATATTAAAATTACCTAATTAATTTAGCTTTTTTAAATAAAATCGCTTTATCTTATAAATCTATAATAGCTTAGAATAAGTAGCTAGCTTTTATTTATCTAAGTTATTAAGGATATTAAACTATTTATTTATCTCTTTTTTAAAAAGAGCTAGATCGTATTTTTAATTATATTTATTATATTTAATATAATAAACTAACTAATTAGTCTTTATATATTTAGAGCTTTAAGAAATATAGTTTTTATAATAATATATAATAATATAACAACTATAATACTTTTTTTTCTTAGAAGTATAATAATAGTATTAAATATTATTATTAGAAGATTATATAATATAACTAAAAGAATTATATAATAAAGAAAATTAATAACTAAGGATAATTATATTAAAGAGGGAAATAATATTATAACCTTATGCAATAGGCATAATTAGGTAACCACTATAGGATAAAGACTATAACTATACTAGGTTATAAGGAAGAATAACTAAAAGGAGGAAAAGATAACTAAAGTATTTAAGTATATTTAAGCGTTAAGAGTATTAAGTAACTTCTAAATTAAGTAAGCTTAAAGTAATTAAAAGTTAAGTATTATTAAGTAGGTTAAGTAAAATTATATATATAAAACCTTTTATTTTTTTTCTTTAAATAGATATCTTTATATTTAATATAAGTTTTATTTCTTATTATAAGATTTAAAATAGTTATAACCTAAGTTTATCTTGCTATTCTTGCTTTTACTTGTTATTTAACTGCTATTTATATTCTAGGAGAACTAACCCACTAACTTGTAGTTAAATTAGCTAATACTATTTACTAGTTTAAATACTAGGGTCGCAATAGGTAGACTATTATAAATTTTTAAAAAATATTTAAATTTTTTATTAATAATATTATAAATAAAAATATATAAATATTAATACTTTCTAAAAATTAAAATAATATTTCTATTTTTATTAATATTAATATAAAAGCGTTATTTTTTCTAGACTCTATTTTTAATATATTGCTAATAATATTCTATATAAAAGTATTCCTATTATATTTTATTAATAATATAGGATTTATATAATTACTAGCTATTTTATATATTTATAATTTATTAAACTTTTCTTTTATAATTTTTAATATTGATTTTACTATTTTTTTAACTACTTATTTATTAATATAACTTAATTATTAATACTAAAGCGACTAGGAAACTCGTACAATCCTGTTCAAACTGTTAGAGTCTCGTACAGTCTCGTACATATCGTCAGATTCTCGCACAGTCTCGTTCACCCTGTCAGATCCTTCGTTCCCACCTTTCGCGACGACTATGGACGATGCTAGGCCCTGGAACGGATTTCGCGAGGAACTCTACAACAACCTCCACGCCCGCTTCGACTCCGTCCGCACCGACTATCAGGGCCGTACACTCCGGGGCAAAGTTTATTTCTGGGTCGGCCACTTGTCTTACTTTCTTCCTCCGTTGGGATTGCTACTCATTATGTTCTCACATTTGCCCTCCGCGATGCCAATTGGCAATCTCCAGACCTTCACCTTGGATTTCACGACGGGATACCATGTCATTACGGGAATGACGAACGAGAGCTTCAAAGGACAACCACTACGGCAGGCGAAGTTCATTCTTGGGGACTATGGCCTTGTTCCGCTGGATTTGCCTTTTAGTGGATATGGAGACACACATTATGAAGCTCTTTTCGGGAGTCAAGGGGGAGAGTTGGAGGTGATACATCGCGCACCTAGCAACGAAATTCCCTCCGACCCATTTTCTGGCCCAAGTACTTCAGGTATGTCCCGGATTCGGGCGTTGGTGCCTTCGAACCCTAATACGTCAATAATCCTCCTTCCTTCACAGTGGTCCTCGGCGAACAAGTCACCCATCTAGTCTCCACATACATCTATCCTCCCTGGACGAATAAACTCAAAATCCACCTCGCCCGGCCAGCAAAACTATCCGCATGCCTAATCGTTCCCGGCTCACCACGGGGAAACCGTCTCTCAGTCCGCCGCCTCCTCAAAGACGGCTGGGTAATTAACATGAACGGAACATCATTCTCTGACCCTCGAACAAAAGAGCAGGAAAAGAAGCAAGACTGGGCGACTAAGGTGGGCCAGGGGAGAGGTTCTGGGCAATCGGGCATGGGCATAAGGATAGTGCTTCGACATCGCATGTCGCTCTTGGAAATAAGACCGGACTGGGTGGTGACTGGACCGGGTAGAGCGGAGTGGCAGGTCACTTTCATAGTGCCGGATCATGCGGTCTGGGGGAATCGCTTGAGTAGGGCGTGGTCGAGGGCTACTCGTTTTACGTGGCAAATGTGAACGCAAGAGCAAGAGGAAGGACGTATGGAGGTGTGGTGGAAGGTCGGAGCATTTTTTTCGGGATTTGTCGGTATGACCTCTTGTTCTATCGTCGTTTGACATTCGCCAGCATCTTGAATTGAGAATCGAATACCAATTTACTCTTTCTTCTCGTCAGGACATTAATACATTGCATCGGTACGCGGGCATATGGCCTGACTTAGTAACCTAGATAGTGAATGGTTAAACAATCTCGCTGGACTGACAAACGAAATCGTTTTTGATGAACAGGCCAGTCCAGCGTCAAGCTACCAGAACTCTTGATTTCAGAGATCATTCCACATCATATCAATCTAAGCAGGTCATCCAACTGAACTATCATGCAATAGCCGTCTGTCGGCAGGGAAGACTGTGGATATCAACATTGACCTCGTTATCAGCATTCGAAATTTGCACGCTCTTATACACAGACATACTTGTCAGTCTAAAATCAGACAGTGACTAGCTAATCTTTGAACCAGATTCCCACCTGTCGATACACGAAGACTAAAGTACTCACAAATGAAGCCAAGCAGTCATTAAAATTGTGTACTCTTTGCTCTCTATTCAAGGCCAACTCACCTTCCCAGTTCTGGCCTCCCAAAACAAAAGCTGTTTCCCCTGCAAATTTCTATATGTTTGTCCACAAACTTGCTGAATGCTGCTGCCATCCTCGTCAAACATGGCAACAGGCATGGTGAATGGAAACTTGCCCGTAGATGTGATCATGTGGTTGCCTGATATCCCATCCCTGTTCTGCCAGCACTATATACGCTCCTCTTTCCGTCCCCTTATCTCCCATCAGAAAGCCAATCACCACGAAGAATTGTACGACGACCGCTCGACGGCTTCAGGGCAAAGAGTACAGCGTCAGCGTCAATCCCCGAGCAGAAGGAAGTACATGCCTGGGGTGGGATGAATTTGCCACGCCCAAATGACGCGCCCGTACAGCTCAGCAATTAACTCGTTCTTGTGATGACAATGCTATTCTTGTATTATTCTATTTACTTGTGGGCTTCAACAACGCATCCATGAGTCCCTGCCCTGTCTACTTAAGCTAGACGGTGTGCCTTCTCCCTGCCTAATTCGTCCAGAGCATCAAGCTCCCCTCTTCCTGCTTTGTGGGGCCCCAAAATGCTCCCCTCAGATTCTCTACTCTCCGATGTTGACGTAAATTGAAGATTGAGGGGGATGAAGTCTAGTAGATTGGGAAAATTCCGTTCAAGGTTTTCGATCAGCCGTAAATAGGGTTGCCACTTTTGCCCTCTTCTTGTACAAGAGTGTATGTGATGTAGAGCCTGAAATTGCAGCCGCGCATTTCCTTTCCTTTAGGCCAACGCATGCATATGTTCATCCTAATACTACTCGTGCCTTATATAGGTCTAGCCTTCCGTCTCCCTTGCGCCTCCGTTAGCTCTGCATTTAGCACCTCAGCGACCCTCTCAACATTCAGCGATGCCTGGATCTCCAACTCTTCAATCATCTCATGATCCATGACCTCAATATGCATCGCTCATATTGGCTCTGGGGATGGCCAATTTCCTGTAGGAAAGACTAACAAGAGTGCGCAGCTGCTGACATCTTCAACTAGTGCGAGCAATCGACCTGAATGAGCTTGGATACGCAGAGCAAGGTTTATGGGAACGATCTGCGAAACGAGCTTGCAAGGCAGGCTTGTCTGACGCTCTCAACCGGTGTTTTACTCCTTTACCACTGAGAAGAATTCGGTAGCACATGTCTTCGTCCCGACTGCAACTATGGAGGTGAGGGATTCTTTTGCATAGTTCGACGGTGCCTTCAAGATCGTATGTACTATCGAAGATTCAAATGACGATCGATTAACGCGAGCCTTCCCAGAGAGTTTTAGTGGAAACAGTGCTATGTGCTTTAATCCTTGTTTGGATTTGGCAAGACAAATATTGCTGCTTGAGATCAGGAGCAGAACAAGGAATCGTGTTCTGTTTCATGTTCTCGAAGCAAGTCTGATTGGATTTGGAGTCTTGATTGATAGCCTCAGTGATGAGATATTTACAGCCAGCCTTATTACCCTTCTTCGATCTCAGTAAAATACCTGCAAGATATCAGTTACTGTAAGTCTCGCTAGCGTCGCTTGGATTTGAAGTCAGGAGTCGACCCTGCCGTGAAGTTGGCGCTGAAGTCCCTTTTCGTGGTGTGATCTTCTTCTTTTGTGCAGCATTTCTTTCGCGCTTCCCACAATCACCCAGTCGTACATTTTGGATCCGCTTTTGAGCGAGACTTTGAGTGGTATGTAGAGGTTAGTTGAGGAGGTTTGATTGGCTGTCCCATGCGATGCTCCTGAATCAGCTGTCAATCTGGCGGCGATTCTTGGCATCCCAAGTTCGCTGGCGGTTTGCGAAAAGACATACAAGTTTGATCTAGGGAACCAACCGCATGAGTTTGGTGGTAGTCGAAGCCCACCAAAACCGCATGCAGCAACGTTACCCAAGTAGACCTCTGCATCAATGCTATCCGCGGCGTCCCCAGCAGCAGTTGAATGAGAGCGGGCTCAGTGAGATCAATATGCGAGCGTGTCGTTTTGTCACAGTATCAAGCGGTTTTCGTAGGAAGATTTGGGCGTTCATTGTCGCTGATAATCGTTTATTCGCGAATTTGGGATCTTGTGGCAGCCAGTTCAGTTTTATATGAGACAGTACTGTCAGTTCTATGATAAAGATGTTGTATATCAAGCTCCTCAAACATGGCGATGGCAAAGATGATGGGCAGCGGGTGGACTGTTGAGGTAAGATACCTTGCATTATCTTGCCGCCCTCACTGGGCATTGCTTCATTTCTTCCGCTCACGGCCATCCTCAGCATATATACACGAGCCGGCGACGCTTTCGCCCGAATTGGAGCTTCCTTGGCCGTTGAGAATGGTGATCTAGACCGGAGAAGGTATTATCTCTACTCGTGCTCTCTTGATGAAGCAATTTTTCACTTCCTCCGAAACGCGTCAATCGATTGCCGGTCGACTAACTCGGGCATCGGATAGCTGCATATACCACCCCCGTCCGCCGCTGAGAGCGCCGCTATCTGCTGTCGCCAGTATTCTGCATGATCCGGAGGTCCGAACTTCGGTCTTCAAATGGCCGACTTCGCTATTGTGACCTTTGGTCTTAGGAAGACCATGCGCCCCCCCACACCAAATTCTTCAAGTCTTGATCTGCTTGCCACTCGAGTTCTCTCAAGCTGATGAATTCGAGATAGCTGTTGGCCGGCACTCTTGGCGGAGCACAGATTGTGACTGTCTTCTCACTCGCTTAGCTGTTTGAAAACTTGTTCAACATCCTGAGTAGTTTGGCGTAGCGAAGACTATGCCGTTTCTACGGACTGTAAGCCTGTCGAATCTGAGCAGCTTCAGGGATCTTGGCTGAGTCACCTGATTTATGCCATTACACGGAATTTACGGCCGAGTGGTCTCCTTAGTGCAATTCACGGCTCAGACAAGCATAATAATTTCCGCAGACATAGACTGATTCTCATCCGCAAACTCATCTCTCCCATTTCATCGTTTTATGCATCAAATAGGCCAGTGACAGTGGAGCAAGCTGGACGCAGTCACCAGCCAGGGAACACCGGATTTGTGCACAACACAAAAGACAAGTTTGTGACTTTGCTCTCAGTTAGAGTGTCCTTTTCAAAAAGACATGATGGTGACCAACAATTGTCAGAAGCCAAGCGTATTTGCCTGCTATGTTAGGCATCATTATGAGTGTTAAACAAAGACACATTGGAACGTGTTACTTCACTATAACGAATATGAACATAACACGTACTAAGCGTGTGAGGCAAGTCAAGCCTATAAGTACTCGTGCTCCTCTGTGGGTAGCTTAGACAGACAATCAACACAACATAGCTAGCGCCTCATACTATCACGAGAGTACTCGCATCTTTTGAAAATTCTACATCTTCTATCGGAGTAGCGTCCCCTATTACTAGGATTTCTTTTGTTGGCAAACAAAATATCCACACTTCCGAAAAAAACTGGCGCTGGCATGGCATCCGACTGGATCTTTGTCATCTGGTTTGCAGCTATGTTCGTGTTCTTGGTGTTGTTGTTCAATGATATGATCGCTGTCAATATTGCGAATTACATCTGCCGCAATGAAGAATGGTATGAGCTAGAAGGCAGCGAATTTGAACGCAAGAGAGCTCCCGTCGTGACACCTTGCACGTGGCTAGTCTGGAGTATCGAGGTGCTCCTGCTGGCCACATGGTCCTACTACCGAGCATTTGTCAAAGCGACTAGGGGCAAGAGGACAGCCTCTGCTTCAGCCGACCCTCCAATTTCCTCACGTGCCGTCCAGATTGTTCCTGCCACCGAATACAATCCTTCAGTCCTTCAAAGATTGAAGCACGACTCCAAAGACTGGCGCCGTCGTCTCGACCACAAATTAATAAAGATGCAACCCGCCCGCGATTTGACAGACTTTGTCGTAGAGCTGGAAGAGCTCGAGGAACGCTGCGCTAAATGCGAACGTGCCGCATGGGGTATAGATATCAAACTGGATGACAGCCACGACTGGTACGAGGTCGACTTGCTGAAGTGCTGGTATATGAGCGATAATCATGCGAGGCGGTATGCAGGATGCTGGCCGCCGGGATACAAGGATGGACAAATAGACAAGGAAGCCGTCAAAAAGCGGGCAGACGCCAAAAGGCGCATGGGGAAAAGGATAATACTCCATAAATGATGACAAGTATAATTCAAGAGGGAGCTCACAGCCTGAGCTGAACGCTGGTAGAAAAGTCCATAGAATAGGGTACGAGGGGATGGGGAAAGACATTGGGAAGGTGAGAGGAGGCTAAAAAGGGTTAAATATAATAGAGTTAAGATGATTTGATAATTATATTCTTATTGTTTTTAGGTTAAGAAATCATTCTATATATAGGAGGACAATTATTATATAGTCTTATAATTCTTTATACGCTTAAAGGAATAAGTATTATATTTGCAATATATTATTTATTTATATAACTTATATAATACTTAATACTTTTTTTTAAACTTAATTCTATTTATTATTTATAACATTATAAATTATAAAAACTAAGTTTAGCTTATTTTAGTTATTTTTAAATTTTTTTTCTTAATTTATTTATAAATATAATAATATTATAAATAAATATATTTTATCCTAAAATAATTAGTTTTATTTTTTATAAATAATATTATTAACTAATTATTTATATATAAATTAATTAATTAAATTTTTTTTTTATTATTTTTTAATAATATTAAAATATCTATAAAATAGATACTCTTTTTTACTACTTTGTTAGCGGTTATATATTTAGCTTTTATTAATAAATAAATTATAAATAATTATTATTTATTTTACTAATTAATTAGCAAACTTTATAAGAAGAAAATATATATATTAATAAATTAACTTAGATTATAATTATTTATAAAGATGGTATTATAATATATTATAAATAATTTATTATTATTACTAATTAAACTAAATTACTTACTTAAATTAATTATTTTTATAAAATATTATATAATATATTATATAGCTATTATATAATATTATATAAAATTATTTATAAATTATATTAATATATTAACTATAAAAATAATCTTTTTAATAATTTATAATTATTATTTATTTTATAAAATATAATTCCTTTTTCTATAAAAGTTATAACTAATTTATTAATTTTAATTATAAATAATATTTATTTTAAAAAATATTTTAATTAATCTTAAGTATTTTATTATAAATCGTTTATTTAACTAGTTTTTAAATATATTAATTTTTTATTATTACTTATAATAAATTAAAAAATTATTAATATAAATAGTAATAATAATATTTTTCTTAATATTTTAAAATAAATAACTATTATTTTTAATAAAAATTTTTTTTAATATATTATACTATTCTTTTAAAGCTTACTTTAATTTATAAATAATATTATTTTTTTTTTTTAAATATATATAATTACTTTATTTATATATATTATTTTTTTAAAAAAATTCTAAGAAGGCTATAATAATATTTAAATATTTTAAGATTTTATTATTATAAGTTATAATAGTTAATATAATTTATTAAATTTTATTTTTAATTATAAAGGAAAAAATTTATTATAATTAATATTAATTTTTACTTTAAAGTTTTTTATTATTTATCTCGTTTTAAAATTAATAATATTATTGCAATTATTAAACTTATTTATAAGAAATTAGCGTTTTTAAAATCTTTTTATATTTTTAAAAAAAGTTTTTAATATTTAAGTTTTTTTTTTTTCTAATTTTTTAATTTAATTATAATATATAATAAATTTTTTTATTTAGTTTATTTAAAGCGTTTTTAATTATTTAAAAAATATTATATTATTTAAATAATTATAACTTTATTACTTTAATAGTAAATACCTTAAGATAATAAGTTTTTTTATTAAAATATAAATTTTTATAATTAATAGGATTTTTAACTTAAAATTATAGTAATTATTTTAGTATATTATTTTTTTTTCTAGTTTTTTAAGATTTTTAAGATTTTTATAATAATTGCTAATACTTTTTTTAAATATATATTTAATATTTTTAATAAAATCTTAATAATATTCCTAGTAATATTTAATTTTTTTATTTATAAAAAAAGTAAAAAAGCTATTATTTAAATTATTTAAAAAGTTAGTTTCTTTATTATTTATAAATATAAGATTTTAATAATTATTTAAATATTTTTTTATATTTTTTTTAGTTTTATAAATTTATAATTTAATTTATTTAATATATATAATAATAATAATTTTTTTTTTTTATTAGATTTTATATTTAATATTAGTTTTTAATATTATAACTAAGAAATTAATATTTAATTTTTTTATTATCTAATTTAGCTTTATATTTTAATAGCTAAAAGTTTTTATATAAAATATATTTAGATATTAATTAGTTTAAGTTTTAATTAAAGTTTTTTTTATTATTTTAATAGTAGTATAGTTTTTAGTATAGATTATATAAGTTGTTACTTCCTTTTAAAAGTATTAATATAGATTAATATTATATAATATTGCTTAAATTTCTTTAAATAATATATTAAAGCTATGTTTAGCTATTTTATTTTAATAAAAAGTATAAGGAATATTTATCTTTTAAATAATATTATAATTTATATATATTTTATTAATTATATTACTTTAGAACTTATTTTCGCTTTTTAAGAATTAAATAATAATATTTTATATGAAAATATTCTTATTATATTTTACTAATAATATAAGATTTATATAATTAACTAGCTATTTTATATATTTATAATTTATTAAATTCTTTTTTTGTAATTTTTAATATTAATTTTATTATTTTTTTTAATTACTTATTTATTAATATAACTTAGTTATTAATATTAAAGCAACTAGGAAATATATTTAATAATTTTCTATATTAATAACTTTAAAACTTTAAGCTTCTTATAGTAATCTAGATTAATAATATAAATATAGTTTTTATAGTTTTTTTATATAAGTTTTTTTTTTTTATAATAATAAATTTTCTATTTTTAAAGGTAATAAAAGTTTTTTTTTAATTTAAAAGCATTAATAGATAATAGATTATAGGCTAAATTTAATATATAATAAATATTATTAAATTAAATAAATTTAATATAATTATTAATTTTATAAAGGAGTATAAAACTTCTAATTCTATAAATATAAAACTAAATACTATTTACTTTTTTAAAAATATAATTAATAACTTTTTTATATATTTTAAAATACTTTTTCTTTTAAAATAAATAAGTATTTAATCTATTATCTATATATAATAAGTTGTCCTACTTATTATATAATATTTAGCTTCTAGTTTTTAAAGCTTTTATAGGCTAGAACTTATTAATAAATTAGTAATATATAAAAAAAGTAATATATCGAAGATAATTATTATTATTTTTATTTTTATTATTATTATTTATTTTTTTATTTGCCTTTTTTAACAACTTTTTATTTTTTTATATTTATTTTAAAATATTTTTATAAAACTCTTATCTAGCTAGATAAAGTTTTTTATATAAATAAAAATAATTTTTTATAAAATAACTTAGAAGATTATAACTATAGTGTTTCTTTTAGTCCTTTTAATTATATTAATTATTTAATAGCTTATATTATTTATTATATTTTCTAACTTTTATTAGCAAAGTTTTTATATAAAAAATACCTTTTTTATTATAATACTTCTAATTTATAAAAGTATTTATTATTTTATTTATAATAAAAATATATTTACTTAGCTTAGTTTTTTCGATTATATTAAATAAATAAAGATATTAAATTATTATTAATTTCTTTTAGAAGGTTATAAATATTTAAGTTTTTAATATTATTTCTTTTAAATTATATAGTTTAAAAATATATTTTTTAATTTTTAATTAATATTTTTAAATATTTTTATATTTAGAGGTATTGATAGTCTATTTAGTAATAAACTTATTATTAATTAATATAATTATATTTTTTATAAGCTTTTTATTATATTATTAAAAAGTTAATTTTATAGTCAAAGAAATAGTAAATAATATTATAGATCTTCTATATAAATAAAGTTTAAGCTAAATTATTTATATTTTCTTATTTAATATTATTAATTTATTTAATATTTATTAAACTATTAAAAACTTTAATTAATAATAATAAACTATTTTATAATAATAGAAATTTAAGTTTCTTATTTTAATACTTATTATAAATAATATTTTATACTTTTTTTTTAATTAATAAAGCTTTTATATTAATAAACTATATATTATAATTTCTTATTTTAAGATTTTTAAACTTATTAAATAAAGTATTTTTTATAATTAATATAAATTAAATAATAATAAGATTAAAATAGTAATATAATTATTATTAATTATAATAATAATAAATATAATATTAGTTTATATATTAATACTAATTAGGCTTTATAACTTAATAAAATTAAAATAATTTAATAAATATATTCTTATTATTTTTAAGTTAAAGAATTATTTTATATATAAAAGGATAATTATTATATAGTCCTATATTTCCTTATATACTTAAAGGAGCAAGTATTATATTTATAATATATTACTTATTTATATAACTTACGTAATACCTAATAAAATAACCTAAAGAATTTAAGTAGGATATATATAAGTAAAGCGGAATTATTATTAACTTATTAATTATGATTCTATATCCGGCTTTTCATTTTTAATAACTAAAATATCTTCGATAAACTGCTTGCTTCTTTTTTACCATTCTGCTCTCGCTACTCTCTAGAAGAACTTGTATATATATCTTAGCCCTCGTAGTTCCTAACACTCTTTTCTTGCTTCTTATAGTAAGACTCTTTCTATTAACCACCTCGCTTAACATAATATGGTCTATACTTGTCCTTAACTTTCGATATTAACTAAATTAAAAGGAGATATAATTCAACTATCCCCAATCTTGACGTATACTACTTTTAAATGCAGCCGTAATCGACGCATTCTTTACCTCCATTTCTCCGCAAATTCTCTTCCTATTCCTCTTCCCTCTAATAAACTTACCTTTTCATTCCCCCTCAAGCATCAAATGCTTCTAGAAGCCCTATCTCACCCCCTTTTTCCACCCCTCTTCGCCTTACTGCCCCTATCTTGCCGTCCTCCTCCCCCTCTCCAACGCTGCTCCACCGTCATCTTCACCGTCTCCACCGACTTCACAC